ATGTAAAGGTTCTGATTGGTTAGCTGCCCTGCCCGCCGAAAAATAGGGCTGGTCTGTAGCACTTTTTAAAATTTTTTATATTATTTTTTTTTCTTTCAGGAAAGTTTTGATTCTCTTTTTTTCTACTCAGCTAAGGTGTTTTGGAGGACCAGGCAGAATAATTAATAAAATAAAGTTTTATTCCTGAATTCTGTCTTTGTGTCCTCATTAAAGGCTGGTTTATACTTCCTGTCGCACGTCTTTTACCCCCCGCTGAGTGAAAAAAAAGCTGCGCAACTTCCGTCTGCACTCCCGCTGCGATCCCTCYGTGACAGCTCCTATACATTGCCCCCAGTCAGCACTCCGAGACGCGGAGAATACGGTTCGGAGCGTGTGATTGGTTCAAAGTTTGTGGGCGTTTTTGTGCTATGACCCCGCTACCCGCTACTCGCTTCCAGAGGCCGGTTTTTGTTTCTAAACATGAATAGTTTCGAAGAGAAACTCACCGAGACGGTCCGGAGGTACAACCGTCTGTGACTCCTCTACTGCGTCGGTGTGTGCTGAAGGTGAGGGGAGATCCGGTGGGCAAGTTCGTCGAAACAAGCAGCGGACATTTGAAAATAGGAGGTGTTTTTCGTCATCCATCTCCCGCATCTGTTGAACCAACAAGCTCAACTAGCAACAAGCAGTTTTTTTTAGTAACTAGCAGTTATTTACATGCTAAGCTATGCGCGTGACGTATACGGTGGGAGAGCAGAGGGAYGGATTACTATAATGTATCACCCACGTCTTTTCCCAGTATAAACACTCAATGCTGTCGGTGATACAWGCAATTACATCATCGCTGGGCCGCAGCCGCACGTCTTGCATGAAGTATAAACAAAGCTTAAGTGGGTTATGATCCTTCTGTGTTTCAATGGGCCGTAACATATTTCTGGATGGGGGCTCGTCCGGGATAAAAAAAGTCCTCCAAAAAAAGTGCTACAGACCAGCCCTATTTATCGGCGGGCAGGGCTGCTAACCAATCAGAACCTTTACATAAAATAAGTTTTAACTATAAAAAGTAACCAATTCTAAATATACAACACTTCCTCCTCTAAAAAAACCTAAATGAAAAAAATTACCCAACTATAAACAAAAATATCTGYAATATAGCTAAAATATTAGTAAAAATGTGCCCGAAGCACATAACAGGGAGTGGGTTGGGGGGTGGGGGTGGATCATTGGTGGACCCGGAGGATAGCCCTTCATCAGAGTTAAACAACAAAAAAAGTCTGAAGCTCCTGTGTTGAACAGTTTTTGAGTTATAAGCATTTTTGTATGTCCAGACACCCATTTTCAGATGGAGCCCCCTCCTCAAATATGGGGTCTATTGTAAAACCGTGAGCTGGTGCAGTGTAGGTCGGACTCATCTACATTCCTGCCAAATTTCATATTTAGCAGCAGTAGCAGCCGTTTCTGTGCTACGGTTGACCAAAAATCACTGGAAAAAGATAATAGTACGAAAACAATATGACCCCCCCCCCCCTCTCATGCGGGGGTCGTAATAATTAAAGCTTGTTAATTAGGATATAAAAACAATTTTGTAAAACTCCAGTTAGGTAGTGTGTGTCAGCACATGTAGTTTTACATCAGAGTTTTGTTTTTAATGCTGGTTTACGAGTTTTGTGTGAAAGAAGCAGCTTGTGTTTTTCTCAGGTACCGRGGACGAGCAAACAAGTCGATATTGATCTGAACTGGTGTAGGAGGGAAAACTAATGTTCTGGAACAGTGCGACACTTTCTTTTGTTATTACATTTTACATCTAGTAAACCGCAATGATCATCAAGGCATCCACAGCTGAAAAACAAAAAGCTGCCAAGCGTCCAGCTGATTTTAAAGATGGGTTTTTCTCTGAACAGGTTTTATCATAATTCTGATTTTKCTTAAAGGTGAAAATAATAAATAATTTTTTTGAAGTAAGTCCCTCAGAAATGTGTGGATTTTTAAATAATGATTTGTTTTGTGCATTTTTTTGTACATTTAGACACATCTTTGTGTCTATTTTAAAATAAACAATTGACTTTGTGTGTCTCAACAGAAAAAGATGARGAGAAGCCGCCAATATACAAGGTATGTGTTTGTTCTTGTTTTCAAATAGGGCTGAAATGCAAAGTGACACTAGTCTGGAGGGAGGAATAATGTTTTAGTTTCTGGCTGGTTTCCTGCAGGCTCGAGGTGTGGTGACGCTGAAGCTGGGCTCCATTAAAGCCCCTCGTGAAGAAAAGAGTGGGCAGGTCCTGGCTATGGACTGGCTGCCTCAGAAACCACACAACATAATGGCGATTGGATTCTACGATGGTATGAATCGATTTATTTCTCCTAGATGTTCTCGATTAACTGCGTCTTACTCTGAAAGGACAAACAAATGAGTTTCCTAGAAATCCTCTGTCTCCTCTGACATTAATCTTTTTTTTTCACGTTGCTCATGCAAGATTGCAGGAATGCTTATGTGCCCGTGTAAAAATCAGATTTGATGTTTTTGTTCTCTGGCTCCAGGCATTGTCGGTCTGTGGGATCTGTCAACCAAGTCTGCGTTGTTGCGAGTTCGGGAGTCGGACAGGTCTTTGACTCTGCTGCCCTACAGATGCATACTCGCTCACGACAACATGGTGCGAACTCTGGCCTTCTGTCCCGCCTCCAGGTGAGTTCTGTTAGGTCACCTGCGTTCTGATGATGTTTTCATAGAATCAACTTAACAAACACACCTGAAAACACTTGAGTGAGACTTGTTATTTAATAGATACTTAAATGTAGAAAGAGGCGAAATATTTGAATATTTTTATGTAAGGAAAGTTTTTACCCAATAAAACTTAAAAAAATAATAAACTACAGTAAATCAGGCATGGGCAACTGGCGGCCCACGGGCCATATGTGGCCTGCCCGTGACTACCGCCTGGCCCGCAGTGAGCTTTTAGATTCTAAAATCTGTTTTAAAAGTGCTTTTTTTTAACCCTCTGAGATCTGGGGTCTAAATGGCCATTTTTGAATTTACCTCTATACAGTATGTTCACTTTAAAAACTATTTACCTTGCCATGTTTGGTATCATTATTTTCAGCACAACCTCAGCTTTATGATTT